ATCTAAAATCTGCCGGTTTATGGTTGGAGATTGTTGAAGCATCTTACCGCCGTTCAGTCATTTGCCACCTATGGACCCCGGTAGTAGCTCACAGCTCAGCCCTACCTTTACGTTGCGTGTTGCGTTGTTTTGTAAATATACTTGAAATGTGGAGAGGATCGACTTGAACTTCTTTTTTTATTTATAATAAAAATAACTCATGAATTACTTTTCCTCTAGGTATTTACTCATGTTACTGATATACTCATTTTCAACGAACCGGATTAACTTAGTTTTATTGGTTTCCCACTTGTTCACGGTTCAATTCTCCCGTAATTTTACTTCGAGTAATTTGACACGTAGTAATAATATACCCACCTCTTCGTATTAAGTTAATGTTTTAGCGAGATTAGAAAGTACCTACTCTAACTGTTTTCCCTTCGCTGAAAGGCTGAGAAGATTGAAATGAAAAATGAAATACCTTTTATGACGAGCTGACCAAGGTTGCTAGAGAGGCCATTATTGGTTCCAAACCCATTATCGGGATAGCGTACAGCCTGGCAAAGCTCACTCTGTTGAACCAGAGCACAGATTATGTCTTCCAGAATGTCAAAGTCAAATAATATTTATTTCATAGGTAAGCAAATTCCACTTGAAATCGTGATATTAATTAAACTTTACTGCCCATTCGTAAGGCAAATTTTCCTGAGAAGAATGACCGAGAAACTAGGCGTTTCTCTTTGGCGATAAACATTTGTAACCAATTATCATTTACAATACTTACTACTACGACTCCTTGCAAGAGAAGCGCAAGCCACGCCGCGAGCGAAATTAAGCTAAGTTAGTTTAGCCCACATAGCTGCATGCAACCAACTATTCGATTTAGCTCGATTAGCTTAGTTCGCGGTGCGAACAGATGTATGAAAACATGCTGTGGCTACGTGAGCTAAAGCTAACTTAGCTTAGCTTAGCTCACGGTGTGGTCCGCGCTTTAAACGGGTCGCTGTAACGGACGTTTATAATCCAAATACCTACGCAGAAGCTGTATAATAAGTTTTAGTACAAAGTTTTTGTTTCAGTATAGTTTTTAATCTCTTAAAGGGCAAATATTTTAATATCAACCGGAGTCTTATTATAGAAGCGTGTACATTGTATATTGTACATGTGGCTTTAGATGGGGGATTTTGAGCATTCAAAGTCACTGCCTGCAGTGCTAGACAAGCTGTATAGAAGCTTTAGCACTGGGCAGAACTACATCAGAATGCTAACTTAAGCCTTAACAATGCACTGTGGCTTGAACAAGTATAAATCTTCGGCGGAGACGAAATAAAGAGTAGATTATATCACGAGACGGAGGAAATCCACCTTACCCAATGCTGTCCCCTGATGGGCTTACGAGGCTCCAAGGCACAGGCCACAACCAGAGGACATCAAAATAGTTTGAAGCCATGAGAATCCTTCAGTTCTTTAACACTGTTGGTCCTGGCTCCGCATTGTAATTAGTGGTGATCACAATAGATCAATTAACTCCTTAACCTCACTTATGTAATCTTAGGTATATGAAACAACAGTTACGGAACTTGAAGAACTAAATAATCCTAATTAATTTATATCTTACAGGTACCTAAGGAGATATTGTTTTTTATGGCAAGTCGATATGCCAACGACAAAACAGTTTGTTTCGATACCCCGTACATTCTCGTCTCCATACTTTAATGTACTTTACGAGCTCGATTTCCTGTTTAACACATCTGATGAAAACAATTTTTATTCACCTAAATATTTCATTGAAACGACAGACCCTTTATTTTTACTTTTAGCCCGTCTTTTTAATGACATAATGCATACCTACTGCGAACTATTTACTTGCCGGTCTATGTAGCATCCCATTTTTTACGCCTCTAATTCTTTAGATCATAGTTTTCCGACCACCTACCTCGATTCGTTTTTCTTTTATAATTAAGTGGCCTGGTCTAAAACAAGAAAAAACATTTATGTTGGTTATTAATCGAGATCGATCGTGTAAACGAAATCCAGTGTTCTACTATTTTATTCGTATTGCAATCTATTTAATGAGGAGGTTTCGGTACTCAGAAAAACATACAAATTAAAAATAGTCCGTTAACAATGTACAGTACAAGATGTTCCCCACGGATCATGTCGTACACATAAACCATAATCACCTTGCCCCAATTTACTTGTTTTTATTTTTTGTTCGGCAAAATAACCAGTATGCTTCTACTGTTACTATGCCATTAAAAAAGTAAATGAGCATTATACAAAGCCACCAACGCAAAATCTTAGCAATTGATTGCTTAGGATGGAAGTTTTCTAAGCTTTTAATCAACTTTACCTTAGATCAAATTTGCACAATTTTTGTTCTTTTTCACAAAAATGAAGTCGTCACTCACATCGCCATTATGAATTGACTGGCACATTAAGGCCAACATTTACCGAAGAAAATATCTAGATGACATTACTAGTTTCGCTATAATTGAAAAGGATCATCTCGGACACCTTTCCCCTACCTTTTAGGTCCATGGCTACTTTGACAACCTCAGCATTACGCTTATATTAAATCCTCATTGCAATCTCGACTGCAGGAAGTTTACAATTTGTTCCATCCTCAACGTTGTTCCTTCGGACTACTAGAAAGTTCGGAACACTCCATCCTTATGTCATTGATTACTACCCGTTTATACGAAACGCTTTGTTTCGTCTTTTCTGATGCGTACGGTAAAGGAGTGGAATTCACTTTTTTTTTATATGTGACAGGCAAATGATTCCACACTACCTGTTATTAAATGGAAAATGTGTTCCCGAAAAACTTGAATTTAGGTCTATTCAAGGTTAGAGTGAATAAGCGTTTACTAGATAAACGTGTGAGACACAAGAGCTGCCACGAATAAGGCCACACAAAAGAGGGAAATGTTAGCATTTTAAGCATTAGATAAAACATCTTCCATTTAAAATAGTACTCTTTATAATGAAGTTATGATTCTGAAATAGATTCGATTTTATATCATAACTTCGGTTGGTATTTAAAATTGGCCATTCACGAGGTTTTAAGTTGAAGCAGTTGGTATTTATCGTGACCGAGGTATGTTATTTTGCGCTTCTTGATGGTCCGCCTCGGCTAGCGTGAGGTGTTAAAACGCAGGAGTACTGTTTCGTTCTTGACTTTCTGCATCCAGCTGATACGAAGGATGCGGCGGTAGCACCACATCTCCAATGTATAGAGTGGGAGCGCACGGGTTATAGTGCCTTTATCGCATAACCAAGAGGTTGATAGAGAGGGTCACTATAATCAGAACTTATGTAGAAAAGGTACGGGAGCTGGCCAGATATAACAGTGGAGGATGCGGATTCTAAGTTGTATGCAAAGTCCTCGGCAGCACAACACCTCTTCACTTTCAAGACAGACGCTGGGGCGATTTCAATCCGGGTTTCTATCTTCTAGTCCGAGTTCCATGCTTCATTAACCCAAGCGCCAAGATTTTTAAATAAAATGTTGTAAATAATAATAATAATAATAATAATAATAATAATAATAATAACAAATGCAGAAGGCGGTCCTGCTCGATACGGCACGTATTGTTCGCCGATTCTTGGACCTGAGTCCCTGACCCCGGCCGACTGTGCCATTGCCATTTTTAGGCCTTGGGAGAGGCGAGAGTTTAAAATAAATACGAAAATAATAATAATAATAATAACGCATACACTCAACATAGCCCCGCACTAGGGAAACCCTGTGTCGCGGGTGCCATGGACACACACATAGACAACCACAAATTACACCCAAACTCACGAGAGAAATAAATGTAGGCCATACAAATATTTCTCCCGGCCCGGGAATCGCCGGGACCTCTGCGTGGCAGTCCGGTATGGTAACCGTTCGGCCACGGAGGCAGTAAATAATAAATGTGACCAAATGTGAACGTAAAATTTTGGTCCCTTTATTGTTACTGTAGTTAATAAAGACAGGAAAAGAAGAATAATATTACCTAACTGCCTCCGTCGCCCAACGGATACCATGCCGGACTACCACGCACAGATACTAGGTTCGATTCCCGTGTCGGGAGAAATATTTATATGGCCTACATTTATTTTTCTCGTTAGATGTAATTTGTGGTGTCTAAGTGTGTGTCTGTGGCACCCGCGACACAGGGTTTCCCTAGTGCGGGACTATGTTGAGTGTGTGCGTTACCTATGCTAAAGGTAGTGAAATCAGAATTTTAATTATGTAAATAATATATATTTTTTTATTTATATTATTTTTATTATTATTATTTTATTTTATTTATGTACAATAAATTCCTTTCGAAGAAATCGTAATTTTATTTTCTTTGACGACGTTATTGTATTTCGTTGATATTTTGTGTTTATTTATATTTTTTAGTTAAATAGCAAAGAACTGAGGGGCATCGTCACTGCACTCATCACCCTCAGACATAAGTTGAATAGTCCCATGTACATGTAACTTCACCTTTAACTCCTGTAACTCCTTTACTCTTCAAAACCGGAACGCAGTAATCAGCACATTACTTCTTGGCTGCAAAAATAAGTAAGAGGACAGTACTTGCCTGGACGAACTCTTTCACAAGGTTATCTACTGTTACTAAATATAATATAGACGTAATTATAACATTATACATTCGCGAAGTGTCCAATATTGTTGTCTTTTTTTGTTATCTTTAGTTAAAGCCGCTTTGATTACAATTGATATCGTTGCTCACTTTTGTACAAAGCTGCGTTGTTTCAGCATTATTTTCCACGCACTTTGTCACAGATACAGCGAAGGGTGGACGCGTCGATCGTCTCTTAGTAAATTAATATGCCATTTATTAAACATCGCATGCATTAGGTTCTTGAATAAAGTCCTTAATGGGCAATTCACTACCGCATAAATAGTTATAACGAGTTCTTAAGTTTTCGCGATTGTTGCACACAGTAGATGAAACCATTTTTTCGGATCTAAATTGTGTATATTTGTTTTTTTTTTCAGCCGTAACTATGGGACCTGTAAAGGGCCCGAAACATTGGTGTGATTAAAAAAACAATTATACGCGATTTAAAAAGTTTAATTTTTTACATATAAATAGTTTTTATGTCGTTATTTTGTATTACTTAACAAGTGAAGCGCAAACAACGTCAGTTTAAAATAATTTAAAAATGGATGAAGGTTTTGCTCATTTGCAAGGAAGCAAGCATAATAAGAAGGGTATGCTGCCTCCTGATGGGGGCTGGGGATATATGGTGTGCATCGGTGTGGGATTCACTTTCGTAAGTAAAACTTTACATATTTTTAAATGTAAATTAGGTTTACTTACATGTAGATACATTGTTTTACTAAATAAAGTAATTTTTATATTAATAATAACAATATTAGGTCGTTGATGCCAGTAGTGTTAAAAATACCTCGTGTATAGTTATGTAACTTGTATATTCTGAGAGGTGGGAACCTGGTGGTGCACAGGCATTTTTTGTTTTCAGGCGGATAAAAAGCAGGCTATCACATAATTATGCTTATTAAAACTCAACGTAAAAGCTGTTCGTAGCTGTAATTGTATTTTGCGGAGGAAAAATAAACTTTAATATTTTACTTTAATTTACATATTTTACTAATAGCTGTGTGATTTAGAAACCCTAGGATTGCTACTACATTAACATTTGTATATAAATTATTCATATATTAACGTAGGGTAAAATCAGGATAGATGCCGCAGTGGGATAGGTGCCTCGTCTTCAAAAAACCTAACTTCCCTAAATCGCAACAAAGAATAATTAGTTTAAATAAGGAGTATAGACACCACTCAAAGTTCCAGCAGGGCTTCGTGTGGAATAGACGCGTTTATTTCCGCGACGAACACGACAAACGGTTCAAAATTTCAGACGCAAGTATTTACTGCGCATGACTTTGTAAGTTATAATAAATTCCGTTTTATTTTTAATATAACTATACACTGGTTCATTAATAGCGCACCTAGGTATCAATAATCGCTCTTTTGTATATAGCTTAGTTAAATAATAAAAGCGCATCTATCCATATCGAATAGGACAGTCGCCTCGATTTTTCGCGGTATGGGTTTCAGGGGCAAAGGACAAGACAAGAAATTTAGGAAAATAAAATACATTATCTTAGTGAAAAAGGCAAGTAAAAAAATGGTTTAGAAGTAAATAAAAGTAAGTACCAAAAAGATAAATTATTCACAGTTCAACATTTTTGTATAGAATGTTTTGATAGCTACAAAAATACGAAGTGAGTTACTACCTATAACTTTAAATATGTATATATTTATTATTAAAGATGTAATATGAATATACCATATATTAAAGATAGCAAATAAAACATTTTATCATCAATTTTACTATTTTATTCTTATTTTATTCTTAGTATTTCCATCGTGTGGCGTCTATCCATATAAGTAGGCACCTATTTTCAAAAAAGTAGGTTTGCAAAAAGTCAATTTCTTCAAAATTAGCAAATGTTAGATCAATAAAATCAAGTCTTAATGTAATGTAAAAGATTAAATTATTTAGTTATATCTATAGCAATTATTCATAGTAACCTAATAATTTTTAGAATTTAGAAAGGGTTAAAAAAGTGGGGCATTGTCCTCCGATACCAAAGTACGCCATTTCGTTCGACCATTTTATTCCGACATAAGTGTAAACAAATAAATAATTTTTAATTGTGCAGAAGTTTTAATAAGAAAAACAGAGCAGTGACTTTATTGAGTTCTTAGGTTTTCGCTATTATTACACATAGGAAATAGAACTATTTTTTCGAATTTAAATTGCGTATATTTGTTTTTCAAACAAACCAATGTTTTTGGCCCTTTCCAGGTCCCACCTTCACGGCTAACTAGCCCTATTATTTTTTTTTTTCATTTCCTAAGTGACATTATTATTTTGCGTAAATATTTATGCTTATCGCCTCTCTCATGACGTAAAAGACGAATTTCGAATTTTATATTTATATTCTTTATTTGCAAGACACATTAATATAAAACAGGTGTCCTTAAGCCAATATACGTACTTGACATGTAACACCCCGCAGGGGAATTGCAGAATTTTTAGAGCACAAGTCTAAATTGACATTATTAACATAAAATTGTAAACAATTAATGATAAAACTACATAGAATATTAGCCAATAACAAAAATAAATAGAATTAAATTAAACTCTCATTCCTGATACACTTTAATATATATGTTTAGGTACTTAGATAAAATACAAAGTATACGCTGTGTAATTCATGTAGTTCCTAAGCAGTATTTTCTAAAAATAATTCTTTTATAGAATAAAAACCTTTAGTTTTGTGGGGGTGCTGCTGGTGCTGGGGGCGTTCTGGTGGATTGTAATGGTGTGTAGCCCGGATAGCAGTAATAGCCTCCGCAGCCTCGCAGCCTCCAACATCTTGTTTAGTAAATTTAGCAATTCAAACGTTGAAAGTCCAGTTTATAGATTTTTAATCGGTTTATTTAATCGGTTTTAACAAATATAATCTTTAAAATGTAAACTGTATAAATACAGCTAGTAAACGATTCAAAAAGATAAATAATGGTATGTTCGCTACCGCGGTCGCGCAGAGAGTGACGATTGAAAGAAACAAAATCAGAATGCGAGGTAAAATGGAACAATTTTAAATTTAAATATGAGTAGAAGAAGAAAAAACGATACGATACGAATGGAGAGAGGCGATACAAAAAGGTGGGATGACGGTATAAGGAGAACACACCGTCACAGTTTGAAGATAGTTTTTAAGATCTTTTACAAAAACGTATGTGTATCTTGAGTTTTTATATTTGACGAGCCCTATACTCTCGGCTCGAGTCTCGGCCTGCGGCGCGTGGTCGGTTTCAGATTGCGGGGTGTGCTTATGCTCGTCGGTGGCACAGTGATTAGTACTATGGGCGCTTGATGAGGAGGTTCCAGATTCGATCCCTGATTTGAGCCAAAAAAACATTTTTAAATTGGTTCTGGTCAGGGTCTTCTGGGTATTGCCCTCAGAATTATCGTTACTCTGGTACTCATAGTACAGGAAATTCCCTAGTTTGAGATCAGAAATTTGGAGTGATTGTTTGGCATTTTTTCCCTAAATACTTCTATTTTTGGCATAGCTTCCAAGAAAAAAGAATCTAACGGAGAGACGGTCGATATACAAAAACGTATAAGTTTGTATCTTATTTCCACTACATCGAGAAGTACGCCTTACATTTTGAACAATTGTGAAATATTGTACTGTAATAGAGTCTCCGTATACTACCTACGTTAGGTGGCGTGCGGACGCTACGGGGTTAGCCCTCCGCTATACCTCGGCCTACGGCCTCGGCACTTATGACTTTAAAAAAATTACCATAGCTCTTTAAGAGCGGCCATATTGACAAATGGCAAAAAGTAAATTTTGACTGCAAATTATTATTACACATCCATAGAGATCCCCACATGCCGATTTTCAACTGAATTAGAGCAAATTTCCATCTGCCGCCAAAAAACACTTCTAAGGCAGCCATATTGAAAAATGGCGATAAACTAATGTTGATCACCAATTATTATCAAGCACTCCTAGAAACTCCCACATGCCAATTTTCAAAGGGTTCAGAACAATTTTTTTTTCTACTGCCAACAAACGCTTGTATGGCGGCCATATTTGAAAATGGCGAAAAACCAATTTCGAGCAAATTATTATATGGCACTTCTAGAGGCCTCCATATGTCAATTTTCAGCTGAAACAGAGCGAGTCACTTTTGGCTGAAACTTTAACGAAAAAAGCACTTATATGGCAGCCATATTAAAAAATGGCGAAAAAAAACTTTTGACCCCAAATTATGATTAAGGACTCCTAAAGACCTCCGCATGCCAATTTTCAGCCGCATCGAAGCAAGTTTTTCTTCGGCCGCCATTTTGGATTCGCCATCTTGAATTTAATTTATACAGTTGACCACTATTACCCTCTATGACATTCCTTCCAGCACCTCGTACCCATCTCATAGTTTCCGTGATAGCAGGCTTCGAAATTTGTATGGTGGTGGTAAAGGTGTATCTCATAAAAGTGCACAAATATCCCCCCCATATATTATAGTTTTAGCAGGCCGTTGAGTACTCGTTTACATTTTCCACAATCAGGTCTTCTCATATTTGATTCTTTGCCTTGGAGCCTATCCGCGTACAACGGTATAAATATGTTTTTTCCACCATATCGGGAAGTTTTCGTTCTATTTTTCTAAGAGAGTCAGGATTTGTAGCTTTATATATATAATGGGATCGAATTATATATTTTAATTAACATACAGTGTGGCCTTGAATATAGACTGAGAGTGCTGAAAAGACAAACAGGATGATTCAATATTAGTTTTTATTGTTACGTCTGTTGCTCTTTTGTTACGTTTCAGTATTTTTACAGGTAAGATAAAAATATTTCTTGTCTTGAATGTATTCATGAATGCAAATTAATGTGACTGTCAAAATCATAGATTTAGTATATAGGTACCCACTAAATCTATGGTCAAAATCATTGACTTACAATTATATGAACGTCGGGTCCGCGCTAAAAAGTGTCCGCACTTGTAAGGCGCTAAAATCGTATACAGAGCGCCAAACTCCGCTTTAGTCTTCATTTGTTCTACTGACAGCGCGATACTGCGATGACATTACAATTTAAATTTCGAATAGGTTGACTTGGGACATTTTTTTCGTGGTTTTTGTATTAGACCCGTCGTCCATTTATTTGTAAGTCAATGGTCAAAATCATTACTTTTGGTTTTAATACTGTATTTTTAAATTTGTATTGAATATGCACAGGTTATTTTTGGTGCGGTCTAAATTGGATAGTTTTGATTTTTTCATATTTTATTCCAAATTGTGAGAAATTAGCCATTTTATAATTTTTTCAAATGTCCTATTTAATTTGTCTTGTAATTCTTCTTCAGATTTGCAAGATAATATAATATCAAAAACCCAATAAAAAAACCCAACCCAACAATATAACCCAAAGCGCTCTCTCGCGCTGTTGTTTATCTTATCAGTTTTTATATGTATAATATTACCTATTTTGTACATTACGGTCATTGACTTTATTTGTAAGTCAATGATTACGGTGTTCAATTTCAATGAATTGCTCTTGTTTAGTTAAGTAACTAGTGAGCCAATTATGGACTATGCCTCTTATCCCTTCATCATACAATTTTTGCAAGAGTATTTCATATCTGACTCTATCACAGGCTTTACTTAAATCTAATAATAGTTCTATTGCATGTTTTCCATTATTTATTGTATCGAGA